CCACAGTTCTTGCCCAGAGTATACACTCACAAGGAGCACCTGCAGAAAGTGTTTCTGATGCTGCAACTCCTTGGCTTGCTGATATCTTGGTAGGTTGGAATAGATGCAGCAAGGTAGGCCTCTTGGGGTTTGACTAAATGGAATTAACTGAAGTAAGATCATATCCCTCCAGAGGTGGTCAAATGTCATTCTCTTCAAAGCTGGTGTTCTCTTTGCCTTTTCCTCTGGCACTTTCCCATGAAGTGTTTGCTCTCAGACCTACTTTCAGGACTGTCAAATGAGAAGTGACTGTTTTGTTCACCTCATTTAATCCCACACATATCATGGCTCATCAGATTACAAAATCTTACTATTATGGAAACGGATGCTTCTTCAGTGATGGAGAAATCAGTACACCTCTGACTCAAAGGTTCAGGAATAACTGAAAAGCTGTAGCTGTCTCACTAGACTTAATATAGCATTCATAGTTCATAGAATCAATTGCTACATTGCAGAAAAAGGAACAGAGAATTAGGCTGACATCCCTTTGGATAAAGATATGGAAAAAATATTAACCTAGAGGTTAGAAATGAGGTATGTATTCAAATAGTCTCTAATGCCAAAAGTGTAGCAGTGCAGCTGCGCAGTAGTTGAGCAATGGATGTAATGAAGTATCTATAATGGTTTTCACGGCCAGCCTCATCTTGCAGGCAAGCTTTTCCTCTTCAGGACAACAGAGGCAGAGCAGGTACACAAATGAGAAGGCATGCACACAATGCCATCCCAATCCCACCCTGCTTTGGCCAGTGTTTCTCATCCTAACTCTGTTCGAAATACATCAACTGAAATCCTGCCCTGTGCCTCTCATTCTGGACTTAATGCATGAAAATAGAGGTTAAATGGGCCCACGTGGGGTGAATTTTCATTTGATGCATCTCCCAAACTCTGTTCTCCATCACACTGCTCTATCTAACAAGGAACCCAAAGCTGACTGAGAAACACAGAATGACCTGGATTTAAGGGACCTTAAAAATCATCTAGTTTCAACCTCCCTGCCACAGGCAGGGATGCCATTCACCAGATCACATTGCTCAGGGCCCCATTCTACTCTAAGTCTCAGCTGCCTGAAGTCAGCCTAAACTCATTTTCAACAACTGAGGTACTTCAGACTCCCTCCTCTCCTCACACTATTTGATATGTTTAGATTCTTAATTCAGTACCAGCCAGGAACAGGAAATGTTAATAATTACCCCAATTTCCAATCACTATAACTGATCTTTCAAAGCACCACATTCACGAATTTCCTCCCTTTATGTGACTAGAAGCTGAAGAATGAAACTCCACGTGGGCAAACATCAAAGCAGCTCTGAAGCCCTGCAGAGCAGCTTAGGAAAACAAAAACCTGAGCTGCATCACTTGCTCTGATCTCACACCTCGTGCTCATCCAGAGTCAGAGCACACAGCTGAGGTCACTGCTCTCTTGTGCAGTTCATTTGGGTGAATGTTTGCAATAACCACTCCAAACTGGTACGAAGCTCCCAGGAAACTGTGAGGAAACAGAAGCCTTAACAAATGGGAACAATCAATATAGAGAAAGAAAGGCTAGTCCTGACAAGGATTTACAGGACCATCTCACAAAGAAAGCCTTGGAATAACAGCCTGAAAGCCAGTGCAGAAGCACAGCAGCCTCTGCCCTGCTCTGTAGGATGTGGGGATGCCTTCAGGCACGACTCCTCATGGGGTACAGAGCGTTTCTGTGGTGAAGAAATGACAGAAGCAGCAAATACAGCTCCAAAAAAGCTTCAGACCATTCCCTTCCTCTCCCTCTATAAATCCCTCTTTACTGAAGGACACAGGTGACACAGACACTCAGTGTGCACAGTCACAATGAAGGATCTATGTGGTTCCACACAGCTGGATTGAGTGGCTGTCCTTCAACACCTTCCAGCTGCTTCAGAAAAGGGCACAGTGCAGCAGCCCAAGTGCTGGTACCCTTTAAATAGTTTCCCTCTAACTTCTGAGGATTGACATTGTATTTCACAGGGGTCTCCCAAGTGTTAAGACACACAGTCATGTTATCCCACACAAACACAGAAAGGATTAAGGAACAGTCAGTGACAATTAGTAATGTTTATCTTTTCCACTGTTTCACATTCTTCATGTTCTACATCTTTCTTCAGTTTCTGTAGGGCTGTCTCCACTTTTTTGTAGGTTTTTTTTTTTGTATAATGTTCTACCAATATTTTTTTCATTTCTGATTTGGCCTTACAATTTACTTTTCTTTGTTATTTTCTCCCCACTTTCATAATTGTCTGTAATACATATTTAAAATGTTAAAAGCATGCAAAAGGGTTTTTAGAAAACAGGACAATAAGGACCAAGGTTTCCTTACCATATCAGATGAGTAGCCCAGCCTCCCCTGTCTATCACCATGTAAACCATGACATGTAAGTGTGGCTGTCTGGTCAAATGTCATGCTCAAATCTCCCAATTTAGATTCTTTATGGTGGATCATTTCAATGTAGAATTGAAAGACATAAAATGCCAGACCAGTATGTGTTTTCTATAAATCTTAGAGTGTCTTCTACCTCTGCAATATCTGAACACAAACCTGATTCTTGCTCAGGGCAGTAATCCCACAGGATTAAGTCATACTGTAAATACCAGACAAATTACAATTGGATTAGATGAGCAGTCTGTTCATTTACTCAACACAGCTGTACTCCAGAGTCTTTTCACTACTGTTGTCTATTTATAACATGAATGTGTTTTTCTTAAATAAATGAACACAACTTGAATTTCATATCTCTCTTGTTCTTACCATTTGTGGCCAATAAGGAACACATTTCTACTTCCTAAGGAACAAAGACAGAGTGTTCCTTGAGAGGCCAACAAGGCTCCTCTTGGTACAGATCTGCAGGGCAAGATTTAGTTTAAATTTATCAGTGAAAAGTCCTTGGAAAATTTTGCATTCAATTTCAGTCAAGCAGAATTTCAGAATATAGCAAGCATATTCTGGAGATAGGTTTGAGACAGCAGCACAGATATGCTGAAATTTTCCAGACTTGCAATATTCACAGCAGGAATTTCTCCAGGTTCCAAACTTGCTTACACTGGTGAGAATACAAACCTCACAAAGTAGAGCTAGTGTAGCATGGGATTTACAGGGGATTTCTGCTCACTTATGAAAAGGAAGCATATTTAATAATGTTTGGCATTACCTGCCAAAATCTTCCTAGCATTTCACTGAATTTATTTATAAATGTCACATCACATCCCTCATAATTGTTCCCAATTACAAGAATCATCTTGTCTTTTAGATACAAACTTGCTTCCATCCAGCACACAAATCCAGTGTTACTGTAGTTTTACTACTGCAATCAATTAATGAAACCCTACTAAAACATGGAGCTGAGACTTCCATAAAACAGGATTAATGACTACAGGCCACGAAAATACTAAAGTCAAATTAAGCAAACTGCTGCACCAACTAGTATTCTCTTGCTAACTCTATTCTCACCTTCCCCTTCTGATTGCAGAGTTGTTATTCCTGATGTGCACAGAGATAAATAACAACAACACTGAGGCTGGAGAAGTGGAGCCAGTGAGTCAGGAGGGATGAGTTGTAGGGCAGCCTAACCCATTGCCACCAAGCTTCTCCATTCTTACAGGCAGGCATGTCCTCACTCAGCTGCAGAGGTGAGGCAGACAACTCTGCCCATGGAAACCCAGAGGGGGTGTCCTGCTGAGCACCCTGAGCATGCCCCAAAGTGCTGTGACCACACTGCCATGGGTGACACAACAGAGTGGCACAAACACAACCAGAAACACAGTGTGGAATTCACTTCCCTTCCGCAGTGATGCGGTAGCCTGGAAACCAGAACACTCTCTTTTATCAGGAATAAACCAGTGCAGTTTATCATACATAGAGCTGTCAATAGCTATAATATAGTACCTACACAAACATGAGATCAGCTGCTCTCCAAAGACAGCTTTTTCATTAGGCAGGTGTCAACAATTCAAAGTCATAAACAGATTCTACTGGAGTGGAGGAGAAAGCATCCCAAGTCTGCTTTGCACTGAGACAGGAGGTGTTAGAACGACCTTCCACTGCAGGACACCCACTGAACAGGAACATTTTTGCAACAGAAATACTGGTGCCTGGTTCTGCTTTCACACATGTGACTGCCGTTGATTTCAAAAGGAGTTTCCATATTTCACTAGCTCAGAAGTACATGGTGTACATGGTACAAACCTGAATGCATATGGAACATTGATTTATGACACAGCATATGACAAGTGAATAGTGGCTTAAGGTTTTCCTGCACAGCCTCCTTCTGTACATTTCTTCCTGTGTGGGTTTATAGGTGCACTATAAGTTATGATGGTTTTCAGATCAATTCACAGCACAACCTTCCAACCAGTTACACCAGTACAGCTGAAAGAGATATTCCATGGCACAGCATGGAAGGATAGGAATGGTTTACACAGAATCACAGAATCATTCAGGTTGGAAAAGCCCTCCAATATCATCAGACTTAACCTTTGCCCCAGGCTTAACCAAAGTTAAGCTGGTACCTTTGGTTGTCATCATATTTTCTAGGATTTCTGGCCAAGTTAAGGACAATCAGTGGATCTCTGTAAATAACCCTCAACAGCTACTGTTTGGTTATTTTGCTACAAGCTGCTTAGCATCCATCAAGAAAGGAAGGATGTGACAAGGGTGGAAGATTCCCAACTCACATGGAACCTTTACAGCTGTAGAAAAATTAATAAGAACTGACATTTTTGCAAGACCAAGCCATGAATTGTACTTCTGAGTGCAGTATGGATACTTAACAACCTTAGAAATATAAGAATATGAAGACTAAAGCAATAACAATTTTTCTTTTCATTACAGGAAATTTCTATAAGGAATTCAGAATTCTGAGTTATTTAATTTTTGTAAGCATTTGATTTAGAAAAGTAGAGTAGCAGATATTATTACACAAAGATGAGGAAAAATGACATCAAGGACTTACTTTCTGCAGGTTCCTTAGATCTTCTGCCACTGGAGGATTTCCTCAGGAGACTTCTTCCTGAGGTGAAGAGGCTGGTTAGCTCCTCCAGAGGACTGGTGGGTGTCCGAGAGCGGGAGCTGCTCTGAGATGATGACCCGTAGGTGCTGACTGACACACTGACCATCTTCCCTCCTTCTTGCAATGTGTTTCTGGCTGTAGAATGAGGCACTGATGGAGAGCTTCTTGAGAGACTTCCTGAATGTACAGAGTCATAAGGTGGAGGTCTTTTGAGGCTTAAGGGGGTAAGAGACCTACCCATACTGACAGGAGAAGGTGAGGCAGAGTGACTTTTAGGATAGCCATGTGGAGACTGCGTTCTGTATAAGGTAGAAGGATGAGGAGGTGAGGAGGTGTGCCCAGGGGTGCTAGTTCCATGAGATACTGTCTGGTCTTTCTCCAGTTTTTGATGGCCTGGTGTATGAGGTGGCAGTGAAGATGGAGAAGCTCCAGCTTGCTGTTTGATGTAAGACACATTTTCTAGGACGGGAAGCTTTGTGACCTCTAGTGGAGTTAGAGGAGACTCGTCAGAATTTGGGGAACACTGCACTGGTGCTGGTGGGAACACCAGCAGTGGAGGTCTGTGAGAGAGCAGGTTTGGAAATGGCGGGGGTATGTCACAAAGCAAGCCCTTGGGAGTAGATGGCACTGGAGACTTGGTGAAATCCAGGTCAGGCACTGTGGGAGTAGCACACTGAGAAGAACAAGTGTGATGGTCATATTCACATTGACATTTTGAGTCTTGGCCTACATCATCAAATATAGGGTATTTCATCTCCTCATAGACCGCTTCGCTTTGGTCATCCTCTTCTTTTTTGAAGTCTCTGAGAATATTCCCAACCATTTCAATATAAACAGGCTCCTCTTCCTCTGTGTCTGGAGCAGGACTGCTGACCTGCGAGAGCGAGGCATCCCTAGTGAGGGTTGCCTTCATAGGGCCATGCTTTTTGATATATGTTTCATCAAAAGATGTGCTTAGCTGAGTGTTTGGGTTTCGTTTCGGCTTAGGAGGTGGAATCTTCTTTGTGTACTCATCACTGTGAGGTCTTGGTTTGGCTGACACTGAAAACAGAACAGAACACAAACTCATCAGAAGCCTGTAACACACCTTGTCAACCGGGTCTCTGTTAGAGTGCCATAATTCTGGAATGGATTTCCTGGGACCAGCTTGTTGCTGGTTATCTCTGGTATTACATCAATAGAACACTATAAAAATAACACTCAATTCAAAACACTCCTAGACTTCCCCCAGAATGCTTTGACACTCCAGGATTAAGTAACTAGTGAACACTTCCCTTCCTCCGAGACATCTGTTCTTTCCCAAACTCTTTGGGACAGGGGACTTTTCATTTTTAAATATTCTGCTTTTCAAATATCACTGTGGGATTTTAAAGACCCAAAGAGTTGTGAACAACATAATGCTAAATATCAAAATGAACTCCTTTTGGCTCCAAGAGAACAGTTAAGGTCCTGGACAGTCATACTGGAATGACAGTGAGGTAACTCTGCAGTGACAAAGTGATGAATCAAGACCTTTTTATTTATAGTAACTTCTTGCATAAAGCACCACAATTGTCTCAGCACTAACAGAGAAGGAAAATACTCATACACAAACTGTAAAATCTGCTGTTGGGATAATTCTAGTGATTTATCTGGACTCTATTATATTGTTAGAATCTAGTTAATCTCTTAATGAGATTTCTGTGAGGTCAAGGAATAACAAAGTATCTCAGAGATTTGGATCCTTTCTACACTGGTTACTTATAGAAACCTTGTCTTTGAAATTATAAATCAAAACATGGTGATGAAATTAATTTGAAATGAGAGGTCAAGGGTTTCTTGGAAATTATCCTTTATGAATAAAACAATAAGAAAACTCATGCAAACTGCATTTTGTTCACTTTGCATAAAGAGCTAATAAAATATCTCATTAAATGTTAGGGTTAATAAAATGCCTCATTAAATATTTAAGTGAAGTCAGCTTTTATCCTAAGCAGACTCAACAAACTTGTTCAGAAACAAAATTTATCACACACACTAAACCTAGCTTATGTTTCTAGAAGGTAATTGATACCTCACTGGTAAATTCCCCAGCTCAAACAAACAAACAAACACAGAGACCTAAACTAGTGGCCAGAATGGTAGCTTTCCTGCCTTTCCAATTTTTGTTGCTCCTTGTAATTCACTACTGCACATCTGCCAGTTTGAACTCAACGGTCAGAGAAATCTCCAGACACCTTCTGCTGACCCATCAACAAACAGCCAGCAAATGTCTGATGCTAACCCAGGCAGGCAGCACTCACAGAGTTGAAACCTCTCTTTTAGAAACAGCCATGAACACATTCCTGAAGCCAGCAGTGAGGCAGTGCTCTGCCAGCTCAAAGACAGCATTTTGAGTCTAGAGGATGCTGGCTCAGAGCTGGATAAAAGCACCTGCATTAAAGCACCTTACTAACGTGGTTTGGTCACTATCAGAGGAGGATTCAAACAGTGTTATCACTTTGTCAAACTCATGCTTTGATCTGCTAAATAACTTCTGTTCAATTCCCACAAGGTGTACCAGTAAAGGCAGATGATAAACAAGTTTTGTTCAGGAATAAGGAGCTGTGAATGTGTACATGTACAAAGTAATGAGACTACTCTTTGTTAGTAGCATTTGTTTTAGCTTAACACATAACTAAGGTACAACAAAGCAAAAAGGAAATGAAATCTTGCCAGAATTAAAAGGAACAAAAAAGACTCAAAAAATTATATTATACTTTCATGATGGTTCCAATTAATGTGTTCCACTTTGCAGCAGGCTAGGGACATGCAAAAGCTACCACCGATAAGAGTGTTTGGTAGCTTGATAGTTTTTTACCATGTGGATATATCCTAATGCATTTTAAATTTGTCTTTTTAATTAACCCAAATTAATTTTCTTGAATGTATTAGGCTAGACTTTTGGGAATAAGATGTAGGCTACCAGAATCATTTGGGCTTTGCAGAAAATATTACTTGTGATGTATTTGACAATACTGGCAGATTTGTCTTGCCTGCTTCCAGCTAAATCACTATTTCATTTCTGTTTAGTGTCTTATTTTTATATTATGTTTTTATATATTCTACTAGCATAAACTTGATCTCAGTCCTCTCTCCAACCTCTGTTAATCTGATTTACAACCCTGTCAAAAGCAATCTTTTTCAGATTGCTGTCATTAAAATGAAGAGACAGTCAATGAAACTGGCACAAACTGCCTGATCATTTGTGAACATGTTGTACATGTCCTGAACTCTATTTCAGCTACATTTGAAAGTCCTGTATTTTGTAAACACAGGCTTCTCACAGTCTTCAGTTCCCTGTGCCTCACACTGCCATCACTAATGGATACCTGAGAAAGGAACATTTCCTGCTCCTCTGCTTCCTCAGATCCCTGTTCCCAGTGCTGCCTTTTACATCTTCTGTGCCACAGGTGTCACGCTGAGAATGGCTCTGTCATACAGCCACAACTGCACTCTTTGATGTCTTTATCTGGATGCATGTTAATGATCACAAAATAATCAAAAGCTGAGTTACTCTTGTGCTGTGGTCATTCAAGGCTAACTGAGATTTTTTCTAAAACCAGTCAAAAGTGGTCAAAAGTACTGTGTTTTTAAATTGCTAAAAAAAGCATATTCTCTTCTTCCCTCATTCCATTTTCACAATTTTTATCCAGCTGAAGAGGTTCTACTACACTGTCTAAAACTGTCCTTGGGTGTTGGAGTTCCTGTATACAACATCCACAGGTTATTACATTACAAATGAGGATATGAGAAATGTCAAGGAAAAACGATTGACATTCTGCCATCCAGTCTTGTATTTTTGCATGGGTTGAAATTAAGTACCACAATGACACACAGAGCGTCATCTGCCATTGCATGATATGTAGCACTAGCCTAGAATATATTGGTGACATTATCAACAAAAAGGTCAAATGACCCAGTTCTGCTGTATGAGACAGTAAAACACGACAAGGTGATTTACTTTCCATTTGCTATTTAAAGCATTTTTCCTCTGCTGTAGTTTTTTTACTAAATCATCTATTTCCAGGGTGTGTTACTGAGATCTTTTCCCCTTCATGAGAAACTGGGCTTTTCAAACTAAAATTTTAAACTATATTGTTTAAATATTTTACAAACCTTAAAGGTTACCTCCTATATGGTCCTCAGAGCATGAACATCTGCTGCTATAAGACTCACTAGAGAAAATACACAGGTAAATGGATAGACTTAATAACAAAGAAAGCTTTTTATCATTACTAGGAGCAGAGGAACTGTTCAAACCCACTAGGACCTCCCTCAGGTGCAGGAGGACATTAAGGACGCAAACTGAATTATCTTTAAGAAGTCTGTGGTGCAAGACACTTAAATGTATTTAACAACAGTTTCTACTCTGAAACACAGCTCCCTGGCAAGGGCTGAACTCTACAGCACACCTGTTAATGGAATACGAACCATGAACTACTGCCCCAGCCCAGAACAACAAAAGTACCAGGAATCCTGCAGCTAAACAGAGCTGTGCAAAGCCAGTGAAAGAAGCAGGAGTATTTGTGCAGTTCCGGTGTTACCAACATTTGGCAGGGATAGATGTGCATGAATGCAGAAGCCCTGGCGAAATCCCAAACCCAATGAAAGGAAATTATTTGGCAATCTCCAGAGAGGAACAGGCAAGATTGCTTAAAGTGCTTGACATTTATCAGGCAGAAGAAGCATTCGGTGCCTGCTGGGAACATAAACTTCTATGGAAAGTGAACCATGCTGGCATATTGATGGTACACATACTGCCATGTTGTCTGCTCTAAACATGGAGTAATTAAGTGCTTTCCAACATGAATTACTATGTCCTTGATGAAACTGTTGCCTGTAACTTGTATTGAGACTCTGCCACTTGTATGCATCAGACACAAGTCCTGATCCAAAGCTAAGTGGAAGAAATAAAAGTAAGAATTGTTTCTTTCCCCACCAGGTGCAGCTTTCCTCAAACATCCATCTCAGAGCATACCACAAACGTCTTGTGAGTGCTTCTATTACAGACACACAAGCACAAGAGAGCACCTTGCCTGTGGGGAGGTTGAGCACAGGGGACGTGCTCAGGGGATGATGCTCAGCACCTGCTCCATGGTCCTCTGTCCCCACAGGAGCTGCCCTGGGAGCTCTGAACGCTGTGCCAGCACCTCCTTGTTTGCATCAGAGCCACCCCAGCTACCACAGCTGATAACCTGGAGGCACAACAACCCTTGCAAACAATCCTGCTGCTTGAGCAGGAACTCTCTGTGCTCAGCAGGGCACTATCCAAGCAGCTATCTGGCTCTAACAAGCTTTAAGGGAAACAAGAGATGCAGCTCCGATAACTCCAGGTATCATCTCAAAGCAAGAAGCACAGTGCTTAAAATAGCCTCATGGAAGCCCTACTGTAAAAAGAGAACATGACATTTTTGAAATGAAATATTTGTAGTGCAAAGGTTATGCATAACTTTCAGACATACCCAGATAATGTCCCTTTCATAGTCAATTTTGGAAATAGAGAATGCTTCTCGTATTATCCTTCTGAAGTATATTTTTATTCTTTAAGGAGAGACTGAAATGTGGAAATATGTTGTTAGATTGTTGTTTATGATATGCTCACTGTATAAGGAATGAGTGAAAACATCTAAAAATTAAAATTTGCTATTTTATATTGTCTTTTGGGTATTTTCCAGTTTTTGCATTCCACAGACCAGTCCAGTGAATTTTTCTGTTCACTGTGACAAATGGAATAAAACCACAAACAGGAAAATTGTTCCCTTTCAATTTCTACAAGAAGCTATAGATTCAATGAAGGAATGATTTGGGGCCTAAAAGTGCTTCTATTGGGTTAGATTTCATTATTTCTGTAGATAAAGTTTGAATAGTATTAGTGAGACTGATTTCTAAAAGACACAGTTGTCTGAACTGTGCAAAAGATTGACACCCAGGAGACCTACGTTTACATCATCTCTTTTCACAGGCCATGGGGCTTCACCTACCATTTTAACTCCTAATGCCACCTTTCAATATTTCTCTTC